GCCGCCGCCGCCGCCGCCGCCGCCGCCACCACCACCACCCGGCCCGCTGCTGGTTTGTATGTCATGAATTCCAGGATCCCAGAGCACTGCCGTCGTGTTTCTGGATCAAAGCATCCAGAGAGTCTGTGTGTGGCGAGGCGGTCCACCGGGATGGGGTGGGAAGCGCTGTGGTCTACGGAGCAGACCCATGTGTAGCGCCCCTGGCCTGCGGGCCCCAGCTCTGACCTGCCTGCCTCCCCCACCCCCCCACCCCCCAGGTAATGGAGAGTGCAATCACGTTGTGGCAGTTCCTGTTGCACCTGCTGCTGGACCAGAAACATGAACACCTCATCTGCTGGACGTCTAACGACGGCGAGTTCAAGCTCCTCAAGGCGGAGGAAGTGGCCAAGCTGTGGGGTCTCCGCAAGAATAAGACAAACATGAACTACGACAAGCTGAGCAGAGCCCTGAGATACTATTACGACAAGGTAAAGCCATCCTCAGCCTCATAGGGAGGGGGTGGGGGGAGGCGGAGGTGGGGGGGGGACACACTCCTCTCCTAGCTCACCGATGAGGGCAGGTGAGTGGGTACCGTGGATCAAGTTATCAAGTTAAAAGACCGAGTGGTGGCCCAGAGGCAGTTCAGTCAGTCAAATGTGTGTCCTGTAGACACAGGATCTAAATCCAATTCACCAACAAAAAAGGTCTAGTGTTGTGGAATATGCTATTCCAGAGCCAGATGGGTGGAGACGGGAGAATACCAGAGACTCACTGGCCAGCCAGCCTTGCCTACTTGTCAATTCCAAGCCACTTAGAGACCCTGTTTCAAAAAAAAAAAAAAGACTGATGTATGGAACCTGAGGTGTGATGGCCACGTGTATACCCATGACCATGTGTACAAACAACACACAGAAAGCCCAAGAAAATGGACGTTATTTATACCTTTAATTTTGAGAAAAAAAATTTCCCTCCTGTGGAAACCTTTAGTGTGTTACTGGGGCTCAGATCTTGTGTTCCCCCCATCCCCCTCCCCCCCCCCCCCGCCTTTTCATGTGTAATTTGCTGATGGCGGCAGGGGTGTCAGGTGGGTGTGGGGCTTTCCAGATGCTGCTCTGGGGGCAGAATAAGAATTAGAGTCTTTCTGGATGGGGGTGCAGTCGGAAGAACCTTCCCTGGGAAAGGGCAGTTTGGGGGATGCAGTATTTGTCCCCCCCCTTTAAAATTCTATAATTTTAAAAAATTAATTTTATGTATATGGGTGTTTCACTTGCATGTGTCTGTGCACCACATGTGTGCAGTACCCACGGAGGCCAGAAGAGGGCGTTGAGTCCCCTAAGACTGGAGTTACAGACAGTTGTGAGCTGCCGTGTGGGTGCTGGAAATTGAACCCAGGTCCTCCGGAAGAGCAGCCAGTGCTCTTCACCACTGGGCCATCTCTGCAGCTCGCAGAGTGCTTTTAGAAGTGAATCACAGCACAGTTGCCGAAGCCTGGATGATTGGTGTGAGTCTAATTCATTTCTCACAAATTAGTTAGCGTGCTTCGTAGGGCAAAATTCCTTCTCTTTAGTATCAACGTATCCGGTCCGTAATTATCGGGCATTTCCGTTTGAATCCCTGTTCGCTGACTGTTTACCTTCTTGAACACAAAGGCTTAGAATCCTAGTAAGCCCTGTGAGCTTTTGTTCTGGGTTCACTCTTGCTGTGAAAAGGTGAATTCAAACTGATTTAAATATTAGTTCCCGATCTATATTTAGCGCCTTCTGTCTGCAAACCCCTTTGGGATTGCAGACAGAAGGATCACACGTTCCAGGAAGCGAGGACGTCATTAGCTATAAAGCGCTCCTTTCTGCTTGCCCCTAATTGCATGTGATTATGTCATTGGAGAGCTCAAGGTGCATCCCATTAATGTGACAATTAATTAATCCCGGCTTAGCGCAGAGCCCTCCGAAGATGTGAAGGCACGTCTCGGCTAATTGCACTGTCTGGAAGCCAAGCAGATGGCGTCTTGCTTTGCCTTTTCCCCCTGGGTTCCCTGTTCTGCCGTGGGAATTGGGGGCCCTTCAGGAAAACAGTCTGCCTCGCCTGCTGGCGGAGAGCTCCCGAGCTTGGCCTCTCCATGGTTTTAAATCAAGGTGTGGGAGAGGGTTTGTCCTGTCAGCATGGAGGGGTCTGTGTCAGGGCTGGGGAGTGGCTGCTGGTGGCCGCCAGCGCCGCTGTCAAGGGGGAGCAGCTTCAGCCCGGGGGGGGGGCGGGGGGAGAGTCAAGTGCCTCCCTCCCACGGTGAGACCCCGGTGTGATGGTGTCTGTGTCACCCCAGCACTGGGAAGACAGAGACAGGAAATCCTCGGGGCTCACCGGACAGCTAGCCCAACTTAACCGGTGAGCTCCAGGCCAAAGAGACCCTGTCTCCAAGGAGGTGACTGGCATTCCTAAGGATGACACCTGAAGTCCTCTGGCCTCCATGTGCGTGTATATGAGTGCACGCACACACATACACACATGTTCACACATACATACACGTACGCACACACACATACACACAAGTACAGTATACATACTCACAAGTGCACACACAAGTGCACATATATGCACGTGCACAAGCACATACATGTACACACAAATACAATATACATACACACAAGCACACATACATATGCACACATACATATGCACACACACATACACACGGGTGCAGTATACATACAAGCACACACACATAGGCACATACACATGTACATACAAGTACAATATACTACACATAAGCACACATATATATGCACACACATGTATACACAAGTACAGTTCTCATACATACAAACACATACATGCACACACACTTTTTTTTTAAAGGTGTTTCATAGCTGTCAGTCAGGGGGTGTATTGCTGCTTTTTGTTAGGTGTCTAGGGACCTGGCCCAGGCAGTTCCTGTTGAACTAGATGACTTTAAACAGAATGACACCCCATGAGACAGGTCCTTCCCCAGCCTCTTATACAAAGCAGAACAGGAAGACCAGGCTAGCCCACGCAGCCGGTGAGTGGCAGGGCCTGGGGCCCGGCTGCTGCGTGTTCTTTACAACACAAACCTTGACTTTACTTTGGAACCTTGGAGCTCAGGTCGGCCACCCATAAGCTCTTCTGACCTCAGGAGTTGGGTTTTTGTTTTGTTTTTGGTTTTGGTTTTGGTTTTTCGAGACAGGGTTTCTCTGTGTAGTTTTGGTGCCTGTCCTGGATCTCGCTCTGTAGACCAGGCTGGCTTCTAAGTCACAGAGATCCTCCTGCCTCTGCCTCCCGAGTGCTGGATTAAAGGTGTGTGCCACTGCCACCCAGCCCGGTCCCCAACTCTTAATATTGCAGCAATGCCATGCTGAGGATTTGGCTTCCACCTTCCGGACTCTGGGGACCCGCTCCAGCCATGGCCACAGACTCCCACTACAGTTTAAAAAGAAAAGAGGAGGAGGAGGGAGGAGGAAGGGGAGGATGATGGGAGGGGAGAAAGGAAGGAGGTGAAGGAAGATGCAGAGGAGCAGAAGAGCCGAGAGGGAAGAGCAGGAAGAGAACCGCCATTCCTTCACCGAGACCATTTATTTGGCGTTTTCTGGCTAACCCTTCCGGTTTCGCCAGCAGCACCCTGATGGGCTGCATCAGTTAGTTAGACTGGTTCAAATCTCTAGTGTCTGGCAGCACTGGCCTGGCAACCCCGGCCGACGTAAATGCCAGACTTCTCACGGAAGGGCAGCTTGGATCAGGGTCTCTGTGGGGGTGGCGCCCTTGGGCCACACGGGCATGGTGTGATGTCTCCTGCCCTGCTCTGCTTTTTCAGGCGAGGATGGGAGAGTGATCCCAGACACAGGCTGGTCCCCTCTGCTTCTCGGTGTCCTTGTGATGGTCCTTGACCTCCTCTCCCCTGTCCTCCCTCACACTGAGCCTGTGAGTGGCGTCAACCTGTGGCTGTCTCGCTCAGCAGCCGTGACCGGTTTTTTTTTGTTGTTGTTGTTGTCGTCTTTTCTGGCCTTCTCTAGCTAGCTAGCATCCTTTCCTTGGTGGCTGAAAATGCACATCCTTCGGTTTGTCCTAATAGGGAAGTTTCTCTGCCAGAGCAGACAAGCCTGTGACTAGCATTATTTTTATATGGTATATGTTGTATTTTTGGCTTGTTCCAGCAGATTAAAAGTGGGCAGAGGAGAAATGTGGAAATGTGTATAAAGCTATACACGAGACACTAAAGGGGAAAATATTGTATGTGTTCATGACATCTGGCAGAGTGAAGAGCTGTAATCAATGTCCCTTCAATACACGTGCCCTCCAGCCCACCGGTTGGAATGGAGAGGCGAGCATGGTGTGGGCTTGGGATTAGATGTTCGGGTCAGTCTCTCTGGGCCTGCCTCAGCCTCCTTCTTTATAAATTGATCTTTGTATGTGTGAGTAGGTTTGCATGTATTAGTTTTGTGTGCGCATGTGTGTGGGTGCTTGTGGGAGCTAGAGGTCAACATCTGGGCTCTACCTGGATCACTCTCTAGCCCTCCTGACCCTACCTTATCCATACTATGAATGCACACCAGAAATCAGAACTGAGGTCCACTTTACTGACTGAGCAGTGTCCACACTGTTCCTCTACCCCATTTTCCCGCCCTGTGGTACTGAGAATCGGGTCCAGGGCCCTCACATGCTAGGCGAGTACACCCTCCTTTTTATGTAAAATGGGAATGACAGCAGAAACTTCCGAAGCGTCGTGGCGGATAGGCTCAGTGGCACCCGGACCCTCCCGACACAGTGCTCAGTACTTGATGGATATGACGAAGCCTTGGCCAGAGTCGTAAGGCGGGCAATCCTCTTTCCCTAGCACTAATTTGAAAGCTTTGGGTGATTGCAGAGTAAGAAAGTGAAGCCTTGTACCAGCCTCCAGAATAGGTGTGCGGAGATGGGATGCTTTCGTCTATACAGTATCAGGAGCCCTGGGCCCTGCTGTTTCTTAACGGAGAGTGGCCAGCAACTGTATCAGCTGCCTGTTTCTGCATAGTTAGGCTGTTCTGAAAACTCTCCCACATTTCAAAGCCCTCCCTGTCCCTCTGAGTCAAAGCCTGCACACTTCCCTGTGCATTCGGAGGGAGTGAACATCCGTCTCCAAGTCCCCTTAGCGTCCAGGTTTTGAGTTTAGGGCCGTGGAGGTTGGAAGCCAACCGTTTTCACTTCCACCATCACAAAGCATGATCTCGGCGGCCCCGGCTCCCCTCACCGGGCCACATGAGGATCTGGGGTTGAGGATGTATGTGTGGTTCTCAGCAGTGTTAGCCTCTGCAGAGGATGTACATGCTTGGAAGGGCATGCCATGTCACCGTCCATGTTTGCGAATCTTAGTGCGTTAGGTAACAGAGGCCGATTTATATAAATGTCTTCCTCCACGAACCCCACGTTACTGTTACTATTTGCTGTGGAGGTTGGGTCTAGTCACGTAGCCCACAACAAATATAATGCTAGATTCTGTGACGTC